GGGGGGGGGGGGGGGGAGGGCACCTCGCAATCGTGTGGCCACGCCTCTTTTGGCGTCCGCAGTGGACCTTCGCGCGCGACAAGCAAAAAAACAATGGTGCTCATTGGGTGGATCGAACACCCGACCTCCAGTTTACTAGACTGGCGCTCTACCACTGAGCTAAACGAGCGGCGGCGTGCGTCGACCGGGAATCGAACCCGGGTCTACCGCGTGGCAGGCGGCAATTCTACCACTAAACCATCGACGCGGTCACCTGCTGCCCAGGCCGTTCCCAAGCCCTCAACACCTGCGCGCATGCTGCCGACGGCCGGCGCCGGGCCCCGGCAGCGGACGCGCCCCCCGACAAAAGGCAAAGGGACCGGCGCGCGCCATTCGCCCCGGAGGGCCCGAGGGGAATGGCCCTCACCACGACGGGGACACGGGGCCCGGCGAAAGGGCGCCTGCATGCCCGGGCCGCCGTGTGGAAGGGCCCTTGCCGTGGCAAATGTGCCCCAAAGGCACGCCGCGGCCCCGCTGCGCGCAAAAAAAAAAAACCCACACTCGGCTGAACCGCGCCCACGCACACACGTCCCCAGTCGGCCGATGTACGGGGGCGGTGGGGAACCCCTTCGGGTGGCGCCCCCGCCACATGCCTTTGCCGCGCCCACGCGCCCGGCGACTCGCCAGCCCATGCCGCAGTGTGTCCAGCCGGGGAGAAGCCCTCGGCCGGCTGCCGGCCGCGCGAGCGCCGCTGTGGCAGCATGCCCGCTCGGCCTCGCTCCAGCCGGCATGCCTGGGTCTGTATGTTCCCAGCCCGCAGCTGCGCCGGCCTCCGCCATCAGGCGAGACCGTGCCGCCCCTTTGGACCGGGGGCGATGCAGCCCCCTCCGGGGGGGCGCGATCTGCCCCGGCACGCGCACTCGCCAGCATGCCAGTGTACACACCCACACACACACACACACACACATGTGCAGCCGTATTGAGCACAGCGGCCGCGCCGTATCGGCCGAGCGGCACCGCTCCCACATCCGGCCGGGCCCCGACAAAGGCCCCGTCCCCCGTATAAAGACCCCCCCCCCGCCAAGCACCGGCTCCGGCGGATAGGCCACCGACCACGCTGCCGACTGGCCAGCAGCGACACCAATGCCCTCAGGCAAGACACACACTTCTTCCGGGCCGTCCTCCACTCAGCGCGCGACGCGCCGCGAGGGGAGCTGCTCCGAGGCCAGTCAGGGCCGGGCGCAATTCGCGTGCCACAAATACGTGCCGCACACACGTACACACATCTCCCATATAGTCTAGGTGGTTAGGATACGTGGCTCTCACCCACGAGACCCGGGTTCGAGTCCCGGTATGGGAATACCCTTTTGCCTCCCGGGGGGACGGCGCGCGGGGGCCTCTTTTTCCTTCGCGCAAAGAACAGACACACACGCACACACACATACACACGCTGGCGCAGTGGTACATTTCGCCGCGTGGCGCCAGTGGCGACCCGGATCGCGCGCTCGCACAGCCGATGCCATGCCTCCCAGATCGCATGCACCAGGCACGCCATGCCCCCACCCCAGGCAGGCGTCCGCCACCGAGCTCGCCCGGAGGGGCCAGCCGCGCCAGCGCCATGTTCCCGGCTTGGGACCTCGACATTGCCGGGTCCGGGCGCCCCTCTTGCCACACAACGCCTCCCCTGCCAAGAGGCCCGGCCAAGAAACCTTCCCCGGCACGAGTGACGGCCGGCGCCACCGCCACATCTGGGCCCTGGTTCCGGCCTGGCACCCGCCGATGGTAGTGCTTCGGCCGATGCCCGATCGGACAGGAGCCGGCACCGACATCTGCCGATATCATGAGGCGGCCCGGGCCACTCCGGCAGGGGACACCGACGACGGCCGCCCCCGGAGTCCGGGGCCGGTCCTGCCGTGCCCAACACCGCCCAAAGGCCGTCACAGCCGAAGTGCCTCTGGGAGATTGGTACACGCGGGCGGCCCCGCGCGGATCCACGCCGGCGGGCTATTGCTACGGCTGTTGCAAACACGGCCGCTGCCAGTTAACTTGGCGTTAACCCGACTGGCATGCCGGGGTGTCGCACGGGCACGGCCACACTGAGAATCGCCCAGAACGGATTCCCTTCAGGCGGGCCTCGGGGGCCGTACCAGAACATTGATCAGGCGCACTCGCCCGATCACGAGCCCTCGTGACATCCCGCCTCCGTGAAACGCAGCGGTGTGATCCCTGGGTGGAATCGGGCAACGCGTGGATGAACGGTAATGTGTATATCTGGGTGCAAAGGGAATATACAATAGGCAGCGATGCAGGCGCATCGGTGGACAGAGCAGGGGCCGCAGCCTTATATACCTAGGCTGCGGCATTCATACAAGCGTTGGCAGTAATGGGGATCACGTGTTGTGTCACGAGCGGGGGCATTTCACTCCGACCGTGGGCCTCGGTCGGTTGCCCAAGTGCCAATGCGTGGGCCTTTTTGCTGTGGCACATTCCCCGGCCAGGGGGGGGATCGAGCTGCTTCTCGGACTCGCGTCCATCCACACGGCGGCGCCACTCTGCCGCCCGATTGCTTCCTCCGCGCTTTCTTTTATTGCCAAGCGCTGTTCAGTCACGATCCTCGCCCCCCCCCCTCCTGGCGGACATGGAGGCCCTTCTTGGCCGTGGTGCGCCATGACAAGAAATGGTCCTCGGCATGATTTCCCGTCCTGCAACGCCGGGTCGAGGCATTCCCGCCTTTGTGGTGCCCCGGGACATTCTCGCTGCTCCCCAAGGTCGAACGCCGGACACATCGCTGCACGTCGTTCGCGCGGAGCTCCCCGCTCCAGGTCTCGACGGCAGGGGACGGGCGCATCCGCCTCGACACAGTCCCGCATTTATGCCCCGATATGAGGGCAACCCCCAAGCCTCGATAGCTCAGTTGGGAGAGCGTGTGACTGAAGATCACAAGGTCACCAGTTCAATCCTGGTTCGAGGCAATCTTCTCTTTTTCGTCGGGGCGCGAGGGCTCACCAGTCGCCAATAAGTATCCTCTGCGCGTGGGGAATCTCCAGAGTGGGAAATTAGTCTAGTGGTATGATTCTCGCTTAGGGTGCGAGAGGTCCCGGGTTCGATTCCCGGATTTCCCCTTCCTTTTTGGCGCCCGCACACGCCTTCCCCGGCGTGCATCCCTCTAATGCCCGCTCCCTCGATCGGGGCGCGGGGGGGGGCGCGGAAGGCCAGCCGCGGCCCCCGCACACACACGCTCACCGCCTGGGCGTTGACAGGCTGAACTGGACACGGGCGGCCGCCTGCCACGCGGTAGACCCAGCCCCCGCCGACACCTGGCCGGCAGACGCCCCGCCCGTGTCCATGTCAGCCCGTCGGCGCAGGGTCCCCCCCCTCCCCCCAGAGTGTCCACACAACACTGCGCTGCAGGCTGCTCGATGCCCCTCCCCCCCCCCCCCGGCGGGTGTACATTTTTTACACCATCTTGCCTGGGGCCTGCCCTGCCCCCGGCGGGTGTAAAAAATAAATGTGTGGATACCCAGAATCGAACTGGGGCCGAGTGGGCCACAACCACTTATACTAACCACTATACGATATCCACCGTACTGACGGGTCCGGCCCCGGGACGCATATTGAAGCACCTCGATTTTGGCGCGCGGCCCAAATCAGCGGTCGCACAAATGCCACATTCACACCCCTCGTCTCAAGGCCGCGTAGCTCAATTGGATAGAGCACCTGACTACGGATCAGGAGGTTGTGTGTTCGAGCCGCATCGTGGTCACATTTCTTTTTGATTCCCCGCGCACCCGGGAGACAGGGCCCGAGAAGGCACGCGCATTGCGCATACTGCTGGGCGCGGGGGGGGGAGGGGGCAGCAGCCAGCCGGGCATCCCACCTAAAAACCGCCGGCCACACCCGCGCCCGCCTCCAGGACGCCGGCCCGAAGCCCACCCACCACAACCAACAGGACGTGCCCCGGCGGCGGCGCCCACCCCCCTCTCCCCCCTTGGGGCAGCCCAGGCGGACGGGGAGTCCCCCGCTCCCAGCACCCGATCCGTTGGCAGATCCCGAGAGTTCCACGCCTGGGCCGGACCTCCCCCTCTGGCTTACGCGCACACCAGCGTGCGTGTCCCTGGTGCGCGCGCGCGTTGCCCACAGCGGCGAATCACACAACAAAGACCCCCTGTCGAGGGGGGGGGGGG